TTGCACCAGTCCATAGTGACTTTTCTCTCTCCCTCATTCTTACTTTTTTTTTTTTTTTTTTTTTTTTGATTAATGGAATGGAATCTATAATGTTTAATATTTCATTATTATTTTCATTTACTGTTTATGTTAAACCTAATTAATGAAATAGATTATGCATTTTTAGGGGGCAGGAACATTTCTTTTATAGCTTATAGTGACTAGCAGAAACTACTAAGTAATGGTTTGTTGCCTGAATTTTTCTTTGTGTTAGGGTTATTTTATAAATGTCTACATTAGTCATCTTTCACTCATACAAGGTGACTGTACTTGAGATACTTGAGCCTTTTTCATAATGGAGGGTTGACTATGCACATAGTACTTTTCCTTTTGCAATAAACTAGTAACTGGCTTGTGACTTAAGTTAAATAAGCTTCTAGAAGAAGTGAGATGTCAAGTTACTAATAATTTTTCTACCTAAAATTTTTCATTTAGATGATTTAATTTATCCCTTCGTGTTATTCAGTAGCTCACCTTTCCCGTATTGGATCCATATTGCAATGCTTTATTTAATTTGGAGTTTAGCCTTTAATGGGGAAATTTGTAATGTTTTTAATGGAACTGCTATATATTTTCTTGGGTAAACTAATAAATTCAATGGAAAACATCACTGTTGTGGTATTATATTACTTTAGGGACTCTATCAGACAGAAGATGTGAAACTTTGAGCTGCGACTTGATTTTAAAAGGGGTACAGAATTCAGGTACTTAATTCTGTCAAATTATAAGAAAATAACTGGAATTTACTTAGAAGGCAAATGGTCATGAATAAGTTAGACTTCTTATTTTTAGTTTTATCAATTGAGAATAGTGTTTGCTTTTTATGTGAACAGGTAGTTGGTATTAGCTGTTTTATGAAATTTTAATGTACCATTTTTAGCTTCTTCCAGCTGATAATTGCATTATGGATGAACATAAACGAGAAATTGCAGAAGCTAAGCAAATTGTTAGAAAGCTTACGATGGTTGTGTTGTCTTCTGAAAAAATGGATGAGCGAGAGAAAGAAAAGGAAAAAGAAGAGGAGAAAGTAGAGAAGGTATGTAATTCATTCTAGTAAGATTAAGTGTCTTCTGGATTTTGAATTATGAAATTTAACTTCTAAATAGTCATTTATGGAAGAAGAATTTCTTACTTTTCATTTTGCTGAAACCTCATTTTCTGGATCATTTGCTCCAGTGGTTTTATTTTTAATCTGAATGGCTCCTTTTTAAGAGAAGCTGTCATATTTTTTTCTTGTATAAATTTCAAAATGTTTTCTAAGTAAAATCACAAGAGGTATTGACTTTAATTGTCCTCTGTGTATTAGTGGCCCTCAAATCCTAAAGGGATTCTCATAGATGATGAATTCTGGTTTCCTGTGGCACGACATAACATTAAGTAGAACTTAATTCCAAGTCTATAAACTGTAATGCCTGTGTCTGTTTTTTTTTTAAATTAATTTATTATTATTTTTGAGACAGGGTCTCACTCTTTCACCCAGGCTGGAGTTCAGTGACATGATTACAGCTCATTGCAGTCTTCTGCTTCCTAGACTCAAGTAATTCTCCCGCCTTAGCCTCCTGAGTAGCTGGGACTACAGGCATGCACCACCACACCTGGCTAATTTTTGTATTTTTTGTAGAGATGGGATTTTGCCATGTTGCCCAGGCTTGTCTCAAACTTCTGAGCTCAAGTGATCTGCCCACCTCAACCTCCCAAGTTCCTCGGACTATAGGTGTGAGCTGCTGCGCCTGGCCTTGATGTTTTTTCAATAGCTAAAAATTTTGATTGTACTTTCAGGAATATATTGTTTAATTTCCCATGAATAACAAATATTTTTGATGTGTTGCTTAGGTCAATTTTTTAAGTGATGAAGTATTAAGATTTCTTGATGTCTGTATCCTGAGTATCTTAGTTTTGACTATTCATTTTTAGCCACCTGATAACCAAAAACTTGGCTTGTTGGAAGCCTTATTAAAGATTGGTGATTGGCAACATGCACAGAACATTATGGATCAGATGCCTCCATACTATGCAGCTTCACACAAGCTAATAGCCCTTGCTATTTGCAAGCTCATTCATATAACTATTGAGCCTCTCTACCGAAGGTATGTATCTATATACTTTACTAATCATTGAGGTAGAAATAGCTTAGGACTACAACAAATTCTGTATTTATCTTATCTCCTCAAACCAAGCATGTATTATAGTACGTTTTATCAAAAGATAAGAACTATTCACAGAGTGTATCAGTCTGATATATATTAATCAGTGACTTGTTTTCTAACGTCTACACCAGGGGTTCTAGAATGTGTGCTGCAGTGTAGTCTAAAAACTACAAGTTAGACTTCTAGGTTACGTTTGTTCCATTGAGAGTTGAAACCCCATTCTTCTGGTTTTGACTTTTCCTCCTCTCAGTGGTTGGGAGGGGCAAAGAAGAATTCCTGAAGTTTTTTCTTAGTGTAATTTTTCTCTATCCTGGCTGAGTGGCTCTGAGTGAGGACATTGCCTTTCTGATTCCCTTACCTTTCCTGGCATATAGGTTGCTGTTCTGGAAATTACTAGTGCAGCCTCTCTTATCATCCCTGGTTACTATGTCGTCTAGTCCTTTAGCTTTCTGCCTACTTGCAGGATACTTAGGAGCAGTATTGATAGCAGCTCTGGCTACAGCCCCATAGATCAGAGCCTGCCTCAAAAGCCTCAGCCTTGTGACTTTTGTGTAGCTGCTGGTTGCTGCCGTCAGTGTCACCTCATGGGCCGTGGACCTTGCAGGCTTCTTAGAGAGTGACCCCTGTGACTCCACAGTGGGACACCTGCTGAGCAGGTGGGAACTCTGGGTGTGATCTCCTGAAGTGACCGTCTTTAATTACGTGACTCACTTTCCCTACCACCACATTCTACATACTCTAGGTTGTGGAATCCAGATTGAGAAATGTCAATCTCAGTTGACTTGAATCAGTGTTGTTATATCCATATTTTTCTGTTTCATCTTTCAGTGTATCTTAGGTCCATCCCTTGTTTCCCATTCCCATATCCAAGTTCACGATACTGGCCAAGTTTAAAAGCAGATTCAGTTGGTGTATGTTAGATGTTCCTTGAAATCCGCACTTCTCTGATTAAGCAGTTAATTTGGAACATTCTCCTCTGAGTTCTGATTTTTTTTTTTTCTCTAATGACTGTTGTTTTTATGTGTTTCTACCAATTGAGAATTATCTGGTATAATAAAGTTAGGCACAATTGAAATGTAGAAAGCAAATATGAGCAAGAAAACATTTCGCTGATTAAGATAACTTTGTTAACTTAAAATGATAGATATTGTAGTGTGTGTGTGTAGTTATATTTATTATATATATGTATTTATTTATTTATTTTACTTTTTAAAATAGAGTTGGTGTTCCTAAAGGTGCTAAAGGCTCACCTGTTAATGCTTTGCAAAACAAGAGGGCACCAAAACAAGCTGAGAGCTTTGAAGATTTGAGGAGAGACGTGTTCAATATGTTCTGTTACCTTGGTCCTCACCTTTCTCACGATCCCATTTTATTTGCAAAAGTGGTGCGCATAGGCAAGTCATTTATGAAGGAGGTAAGTAAGATTTTTCTTACAAACCCAAATTTTGAAATGAAAATGTTCTGAGTGTACTTGTGTTATGAGTATCTTTAGAAATAAAAATATGAACCTCAGTTAATAAAGGGTTATGTTGAGTGAGGTTTGTGGAAAATTCCAGTGTGTCCTAACCATATACAGTCACGTGTTGCTTAATGACAGGTGAGAAATGCATCATTAGGTGATTCGTCATTGTGCAAACGTCAGAGAGTGTACTTCTACAAGCCTAGATGGTGTGACCTACTACATAACCTAGGCTATATGGTATGGCCTGTTACTCCTAGGCTACAAATCTGTACAGAATGTTACCATACTGAATACTATGGGCAGTTGTAATACACTGTTAAGTATTTGTGTATCTGAACATATCTAAACATATAAAAGGTAATACCTTGCACTAAGTTGTTAGGACAACCATGATATCACTAGGCAATAGGAATTTTTTAGCTCTAGTATAGTATTATATGACCCTGGTCGTATATGTGGTCCATCAACCGAAACATTGTTAAATGGTGCATAACTGTATATATTAATATAACCCAAATCTAGCTAGATTATTAGTTAAGTCCCTCACATGGGAAAATATACTTCAGACAAGTGGCCGCTTTTTGAATTCCCTTATAATTAGTGGTTACCTTGCATTCTTTTCCTCTGCTTACCATCTAGTCATTTTCTTGAGTGTAGTTTTCAATCATTGCTGCTATGTGTAAGAAGTCTTTCCAGCCTCAGACTGTTGAGGACCCATTTTTTTTTTTTTTGGTAAGATTTTTATTGAAATAAAACATACATATGGAAAAATACAGCTCAGTGACTTTCCCTAAACTAAGCACCCATATGTCCACTACCCAAATCAAAAAATAGAATAGTACCTGCAACCTAGAGTCTTTCTCATACTCCATTCTAGTTATTATCCTAACGTAAACATTTATGCTTTTTTAAAAAATCAACTTTGAGGTATAATTTAAATACAGTAAACTTCTACAATTTTAAGTGTACAATTCGATGAGTTTTGACAAATGCATACAGTTGTATGTTCACCACTACAATCATGATATAGAAGTTCCCTCCTTCCATTCCTGTTCCTGGCAACCTCTGATAGGCTTTCCATCACTATAGTTTTGCTTTTTCTACATCTTAATTAATAAATGGAATCATATGGTATATACTCTTCTCTGTCTAGTTTCTTCCACTTAGGCTTTCGAGATTTATCCAAGTTGCATGTGTCAGTAGTTTCCTTTATTGCTGAGTGATATTTTATTACATAGACGTACCGGAGTGTAGCCACCAGTTGATGGGCATTTGGGTTGTTTCTACTTGGAGGCTATTGTAGCGCTGCTTTCAATATTCTTGCACAAGCCTTTTGGGAGGCATGTGTTTTTGTGTCTCTAGTAGTGGGATTGATGGGTCATATGAGTAAGTATATGTTTAATTTCATAAAAAATTACCAAACTGTTTCAAAGCGTCTGTACCATTTTGCATTCCTAAGAGCTGTTGTATGAGACTTCTAATTGTTCCACATTCCCACCAACACCTGGTGTTGTCAGTCTTTTAAAGTTTAGTCATTCTAGTGGGTATGTAGTGGTGTCTCGCTGAACTTTTAATTTCGTTCCGGTGACTAGGGATGTTGATCATCTTTTCATGTGCTTATTTGCCATTTATAGTTATCTTTAGTGAAATGTCTATTCATGTCTCTTGCACATTTTTAAGTTGGATTATTTGTCTTTTTATTATTGAGTTGTAAGAGTTCTTTATTCTGGATGCAAGGTCTTACCAGACATGTGATATTTGGAAATTTTTTTCTTAGTCTGATTTGCCTTTTCATTTTGTTAACTATTTTTTAACAGCAAAAAAATTTTAACGTTTGATTAATTCCAATTTAGTAGTATTTTTCTTTTATGGTTTGCTTTTCATGCTCTAAGAAATCTTTGCCCAGCCCAAGGTTTTAAAGCTGAAAAGAATTATACATAGTTTCTTTAAAGTTGTGAAACATGACAACTGAAAAAGCATCTAGACATTGTTAAAAAGCACAAATGCAGAGTGTCTTCAGTGTTTGGTGATTATATCTAATTTGAATTTTCGACAACAGTAACTGTATAGAAATACTAATGGCTATTGTATATTAATTTCTTGACATCTGAAATATTTGACTTGCCTTTTTATACTTAGCTGGTAGTTTTTTTTGTTTGTTTTTGAGATAGGGTTGCACTTTGTCATGAAGGCTGGAGTGTAAGTGGCACCACCATGGCTCACTGCAGCCTTGATCTCTCACGCTGATGGGATCTTCCTGCCTCAGCAGCCCAAGTAGCTGGGACCACAGGTGCATGCTGCCATGCCTGGCTAATTTTTTTTAATATTTGTAGAGACAAAGTCTCTCTATGTTGCCTAGGTAGGTTGTTTTTAGTGCCCACAAATTTAAATTATGTAAAGGTACTCTAAAGAAATCTGTTAAGTAGTTAATTATTACTATATATATTGCTTATTATGTAATATTCATATGAAATGAAAGTATATCATTTCTAAATGTTGGGAACATTCTAAGTCCTCTGTTCTAGCTATTTTGAAATATACAATACATTGTTAACTGTAGTCACCCTACTCTGCTATTGAACATGGGAATTCATTCCGTCAATCTAACTGCATATTTGTACCTATTAATCAACGTCTGTTTATTCCCCCTCACCCCCAGCCTCTGTTATCTGTCATTCTAGCCTCTCCCTCCATGAGACCACTTTTTTTTTTGTTTTGTTTTGTTTTTGAGATGGAGTTTTGCTCTTGTCGCCCAGGCTGGAGTGCAGTGGTGCGATCTTGGCTCACTGCAACCTCCGCCTCCTGGGTTCAAGTAATTTTCCTGCTTCAGCCTCCCGAGTAGCTGGGATTACAGGTGCCCGCCACCAAGCCCAACTAGTTTTTGTATTTTTAGTAAAGACGGGGTTTCACCATGTTTGCCAGGCTGGTCTCGAACTCCTGACCTCAGGTGATCTGACCTTCTCAGCATCCCAAAATGCTGGGATTACGGGCGTGAATCACTGTGCCCAGTCATGAGATCACTTTTTTAGCTTTCACATGAGTGAAAACATATGATATTTGTCTTTCTGTGCCTGGCTTATTTCACTTAACATAAAGACCTCTAGTTCCATCAACATTGCTGCAAATGATATGATTTCATTCTTTTTTTATGGCTGAATAGTATTCCATTGTGTATATATACATCACATTTTACTCATTAATCAATTGATGGGCACTTAATAGGTTGATTCCATAACTTTGCTGTTGTGAGTAGTATTGCAGTAAACATGAGGGTACAGGTATCCTTTTGATATATTGATTACTTTTCCTTTTGATAAATACCTGGTAATGGGATTGCTTGTAACAAATTATCACATGTACCCCACAAATATGTACAAATATTTGTACCAATAAAAAAATTTAAAGAAATTTAGGAAATATAGTAATGTTTCACTCTTGATTTTTATTGTCTGAAAAGGATGATTCATGTTAGCTAGTGCCTGCTCAAGAAACAGAAGGGCTGTATTTTTTCCAGTGCATCATATCAGATGCACATGAAGTCACTTTGTTCCATTGCTAGTGATGTTAACTTTATCATTTGGTTAAGGTGATCTCTGCCAGGTTTCTCCACTATACAGTTACTGTTTTTTCCCTTTGTTATTAAGATACGTCTTGCGGGAAGATATAATACTTTGAGACTATATAAACAGCCTGTTTCTCCTCATACTTTCACCTACCTAATGCTGCTCTTTTTACTTGAAAATCTTAATGTTCAGGTCTCTTGTTCTGAAATTCTTTGTTTGGTTACAAGTATGAAACTTGTGAGCAGGAGACCAAACCTCCAACTCATGAAAGTCCTGTACATAACCATATACAATATTATTACCAAGATACACACTTGGTAGAGCTGTCACAGTTCCCCTCTTGCCTTCTCCATTGCATTCATCCTGTACACCCATTCTGCCCTAGTTGTGCCAGGTTCCTGCATTAACTCCAGTCTATTCTTGCAGAGATGAAGGGCAGAAGGGAAGAGAAAAATGTTAATTTTGACCATAGAGACCAGTGTAAGAAGAAATCTGCATTTTCTCATTACTAAGTTCGTGATGGAAAAGTGAATATTTACAGTTATCTGAGTTAGAATTTTGATCTGTTCTTACCCATAAAAGATTTTGCTGTGACAAATCATTTGTTCTGCGTTTAAAAGGGTTTTGTTGTCTAGCTTGGAATTCAAGCAGGATTTTTAAGATTGCTTCTAAAGGGTGAATATGACCTTAGTTCCAAATAATTTATTTACAATTACACTTCTTTAACAAATCTCATTTATAAGCTTAGGGTTGCTTTTATATACAAATTATGCATATTTTTAAAAAGAGGCTTATATACTTATACTGGATATCACTTAACAGAATTATCTTCTAGCCCTATAGTTATTTGTAATTTATTTCTCTGATTATGTGTATATATGTTTCTTAAATTTGAGGTATGTAGTATATAGGACTAACTCCTAGTACAGTGATTCTCAAGCTTCAGCATGCATCGTAATCATCCAGAGGACTTGGTTTTGTTTGTTTGTTTGTTTTGAGACATTCCAGCTCTGTCGCCAGGCTGGAATGTGGTGGCACAACCTCGGCTCACTACAACCTCCACCTCCCGGGTTCAAGCTGTTCTCCTGCCTTAGCCTCCCAAGTAGGTGGGACTACAGGCATGCGCCACCACACTCAGCTAATTTTTGTACTTTAGGACGGGGTTTCACCATGTTGGCCAGAATGGTCTCAATCTCTTGACCTCGTGATCCGCCTGCCTCGGCCTCCTAAAGTGCTGGGATTGCAGGCGTGAGCCACTGCGCCCGGCCGAGGACTTGTTAAAATAGATTGTTGGGCCCCATCCTTGGAGTTTTTGATTCAGTAGGTCTTGAGATGAGACCTTAGAATCTGCATTTCTAGTAAGTTCTTCTGTGATATTGATGCTCCCGG